TACTACTACTACTACTACTAGTCATGCCGTCATGGCCCGCATCTTTACATGTGTGCGTCAACGCTTCCATTGAAACCGCCATGCATTTTTGAGCTGGATTGGATCTTCTGAGCTTGGAAGGAAATGATTCTCAGTGTGCCACCATCTCCTCCGACTGCCAAAGCGTCACCGGCTGGATTCCAGGCAGCACTTGTGACTACCTCGTTCCCGCGGGACACGGATTCGGCTGTGGAGGTGGTGGTGCTGACGATACGGATTTTTCCGTCGACCGCACCGGTGGCGACGACGTGGGTGAACTCTGGGTGAAACATGCTGGCCCAAATTCGGTCCTCGTGCTCAACGGCGCACTCCGCACAGCCTCGAAGCAAAGGTCTAGTACGTCTCAGATACCCGTTATGAACACAGTCGCAAGCACAGATTTGCTTCTGCATGACCATCTGGGCCCAATCTGGGCTACGGGAACACTCTGCTCGGTCTAGCCGAGAACTCCAACTCTCGTTTACCATCCTAAATACTTTAACCACTCAATAGGAGAATTGCAAAACAAGTTCAAGGTCTCAAAAACACCCATGAACTGCGAAAGCCTGGAAGCGCTGAAGAACTATCGAGGGCTCTGTGCAATAGGAGTCGCAGCAGTGCGGGATTGCAGCTTGCAGGTTTATTGATTGGGCTATTGTCAAAGAGTTTGGCAGTGGCTTCCTTCTGCCGCAGAGTTTTAACACATGTTCGCCTCGTGGCCCCATCTAAAGAAGTTGAAAGCAGACACGTGTTTGAGGCTGACGGGGTGTTTGGGTTGGGGGCTCACAATGGTTATGCCGGGTCTGCCTCCGCGCAGGACGTGCAGCTTCCGATCATCACATCCGACGGCAAGTCGTTCCTTGGGCGTTGATGTTTAGTCTAGTCTCTGAATCCTATGGATGTCTAGTTCCCGAACACATCCGAGCTGAACTAGACACCCGGAGCGTACGATCCTCCTTCACTAAACCTGAAACCCTAAATCGAGTTGCCGTAACTACGCAACCCTCCAGGTGCAGCAAGCCTCGGGTAAGCCCAGGTTGAGTTTTGGGTTTAGAGTCCAAAGAGCTTCGAGCAGCTTGGGAATTGAAAGGTTTACTGGATGGGAACTCCTCTCAGACCAAAGTACACAATAGATGAGCCCATGGGCCATATGCTTGAGCTGTAGACGAGGAGGGTGTACAACTTCCGAAATGCCTACTAACAACCCATAATAGCAACTCCATGGGCTCGTTGGTGCTGAACAAGCGGAGTTACAAAACGTGGGGACACCGGCTTCCAGTCTTCGATTGATGGTACATCGGCACATCGGCCATCGATCTTTCATTCCGAGACCAGCGTCAAGATTCCACCTGACTGATGAACATCAGCCAAGTTTGCGACTCACGTTGGCAGTGAATTTTACACCCTCAGCCCTGAGTGGACAGCAGCTTAGAGTTTTTTGGGTCAGGGAAGCAGAACCGAAAGACACCCACATCTGAAGAAAGCAACTCACCGCCCAAACCCTAATGCCCCAGCAGTTCGGCTCTGGCTCTGTAAATCGTCTATGTCAGTGAATGAGATTTGTACCGCCTGCGCCCAAGAGTCCCCACAGCTGCTCCACGCCAGAGATGTCAGCCAGTTCGTCATTTCTAAGGTCCTCATCACTGCAATAGGGCCCAGGATGTATGGTTTTGGGAGCCTAGCTCCCAAAAAGAGAGAGTTGAGCTTAGGTATCTTTGGTAGCTGCAAGGTCCACCTACAGCACTGCACTCACCGCACAAAGCCCGAAACAAAACCTCTAGACCCGAGCAGCGGTCGCCTTCTCCATGGCCCGGAATTCAGAGGTTCAGGGTTTGCAGCTTGGCACGTAGGCTTGAGGTTTCACAGGCCTGCATTATGAAGCCTTTTTCCAAAGGCCCCGAGGCCTCGTTGTGGAAGTAGCCTTCAGGTTCAGGTTGTAACAAAACGTCATAACACAAGACATAGAGCCTAGAGGATGACAAGATACGTCAACATTCTGCAAGGATGTTCACCTGCGGTGGCAAGTCACGACATCCAGGTGCACACGAAGCGAAGCGCACACGGCACGGGCGAGAGAATAGCAACGACAGCCCTTCTGCCTAGAAGAACTTGATGGTTTTGACTTCGGACCGCAAGGATTCATGCTTCTGACGCGTGAGCCTCTGAATCCATGACCAGCTGACCCTTGCAAACTTTGACCTTGAGCCCCTTCGCAAGCCCTCAACTCTAAGGCCTATACTGCCCTAGATGTAGAATCTAGAGTCTAGAAATGGGGGTTTCCGAAAATGGGGG